CTTAATCTGTCTAAAGATAAGAAGAAATGTAAAGGTAATACGGGGTAAATTTTGCTCTTTTTAATGTTTAGTAGACCGAATATAACCATTCTCAATTTCCTCATGTAACATGTGCATCGCGCGATTAAAATGGCCACCCTGTCCGAAAAACGGCCCTCCGTGGCCTATGGACATTGGCTTTGTTAGGTGCACTTTTTCTCGAGCATGGTTTAGTAATGAAACACATGGCAGCCCAAGGGCTGAACTACGTATTATAAAGTTATAACCTAATGATAATAATAGGATCATATAACGATATGATTAGAGACTTTATAACCAAATAATGTAATATGAATATATATTCTAAGATTCAAATTCTTTTGAAAAAATGTGATGAAAAAAGGTGATAAAAAGCTAGTAAAACTATTATGCGATATCATTATCAATACATGATTTCATTAAAGATGTGGTCTTACAACGCTCGATCTTCCGCCCTGGGATTTCAAACCGTCTGTTTCGTCTAAGGGAGTAAGACTGTCTGCGAGAAACAGGCGATAAATTTCTTATGCGGTTATTTGATCTGACTTAAACACCGCGCGCGTATTACGAGTGACTTACGATTATTAACAGGGTTCAACTGTATTTCAGCTCAAAAGAAAGCTGCATTCACTTTGCCTTGAGACTTTGGAATGTTTTTTTATTTATCAATTCTGAACGATTTTGCGAATACCTGGCTTCAGATATTCAATAGTTTGATCAGTACAGAGAAAATCATTAATTGCATGCAGTGTTATTTTCAACATACTTCTTCACGTGAGATAAAGAAAATAGGTTCACCATATGCATTATCAATTATAGTTGGATAAGTTTCTCAGTGCAGTCAATCGCTAAATATCGAAAATTAATAAACTTTGATTTATTATTTAAATTCGTTTTTAATTCATTTAAATCCATTGATTATTGACAGAAATCACAGAAAAGCCAAGAATACGAAAGTTGTGAGTAATCACATTATTTCAGAACTGGTCGAATTCTTTCCAATGAGGAGAAAGGTCAAAGCATGATTAATTCCAATCATTCCCCTTCAAACTGGTAACAAGACTGGCTTCCAGTACAATTTCAAAGTCTAGGCCACTCCAACGTGAGACTTCTTTCACAAATGTTTACATGAATTCGAACAACGCTGCACCAGAATGCACTCGTTAAATAATTTGTTTAGAATCAGGGGAGAAGAATGAATTTCCGGAAAGTTAGCAACTTCGACAAGCAAATCTCAGTTCGTTTACAAAAAAGGAGAACCGGCAGTAGATACTAGACGGTTGCTAACCGTTGAGGCCTCGCTCTCAGAGAGTGTTGTGGCCGTCAAGCAGGCCCATGTTAATAGCGTTGTGGCAAGAACGTTCTTTAGTCCGTGAGGTAATTTGAGACCTTGAAGAAGGCGAACTGGTGAAGATCCATGCAAGTTCATATATTGCTCATTCATTAAAATCAAAGACATTAAGTAAAATTCAATCAAAGCCGATTCCATCAACGCGATATTTAACAGATGATGTCACTCATACAACACCACAGAAAAACAAATAGGAGGTTGAAATTGTCATGAACTTAGAAATAAAAATCAATTAAACCATTGCGCGTAACAGATAAAATGCCATAAAATAAAGAGACAACCGCACAAGGCCGCTGATGTGAAGGTTAGGAGAGAAAACTTTATTTAATCGGCAAAGAAAGTCAAATGTCAAAAATTAATAATTTGACAATTTCTATCTCCATTTCTTTCCAACGGACGGATTTTCTCCATAAGAGGAGATTACTCTCGAGAGGTTCGCTCTAGGTGCACAGAATGTTATGGATGATATCGATTACTATGGAGCATGAACAATTCGCGATCGTAAATTTAAGGGCCTTGAAAATTTAAAAACTGGATTCATACCGCTGTTTCTCATTTGCCTGTCAGTTTCCTTGTCGAACAAACCCTAATTATACCTAATTAAGCTTTATTAAGAAAAGATTTTCTTAAAAAGGAGTCTCATTTAGTTGACGTGGCTTGTGAAAAATTTACAAAGTTAAGCGCAGATTTTAATATCTTTATTTTTTAATTTTTTCTTCCTCAGCAGTAGCACTCATTCAAGGCTAAACACGAAAAAACAAACGACAAAACAGAAGTATATTTAAAATTTCATTCACTCTCTCGTTTTGGTGAGAAAATCCCATCCAACATGTTTGCAATGAATTCACTTTCACTTCCGAATTCGTTAATCAAATACAAAAGTGAAATAGAAATAAAGAAAGCTAATTACCATATTGAACAGAAAAGAAATGTTTTACACTGAAATAAGTTTACGAGCCTAATTTGAACAAATTTTTATGTCACGTGTTGTTCTCTTTTCGTTAATAACACGAATAAACGCCGCTCTAAGCAACCTGTAACCTGCGCAGTAATTAAACGCAAAATTAATCTAAAT